GGGGGGGTGGGGATGACAAAGACAAGCATACCACAAGTCTCAATATTCATTATTGGGAGTATTTTGAGTGTTTGAAGTAACCTGCTATTACATGTATAGCTGTTACCGCTCGCCTCTCACCACTGTGGTCTGGGTTCAAGACATGGCTCAGACTTGATCATATGTGAGTTGAGTTTGTTTGTTGTGTTGTTCTCTCCCTTGCCACAATGGTTTTCTCCAGAAACTCTGATTTCCTCCCTCCGTAAAAAGCAACATGTGAGTTGAGTGTTGTATGTTGTAAATATAGAATGTAGTGGTTGTGCGTGTGGAGGGAACCTCATGGAAGAGCCCCGCATGGGGAGTGGTGGTTGTAAAAAAATAAGTTTTTWAAAATAAGCATAGAATAGAGAAGGTAGTGAAAGTTGACTTCAGGGTCTTTTACAACTGAACACAAGGGTCTCAAAAGAGCTGCAAGTACATGTATCATATCATATCATATGGCAAAAATATAACATTTGCTTAAATGCTGTTTTGTAGATTGTTTGGAGAATGATAAAAGAGATGTCTGTTGACAAGCATAATGGCGATGGCGTTATCAAGTCCTGTTATTCTATTATGTGTAGTCTGGCCGACTTTTTCATTACTGATAGCAGCAGTAGCAATCATATACTATGGGACTCAAGGTTCTGGGAACTTCTACAGGAAGGGCTCTATATTCAAGACCCATTATCCAGCAAGAGATCTATGTACCTACTAAAAAGGGCCCTGGATCTTGTTGACAAGCAGAAACTCAACATGGAGGTTAAAGGTGACTGTGGTGCTGTTATATTCTACTGGAATACACAACAGAGAAAGTATTTGATGGAAATATGGGAAGAATTYGTGCTGTTGATGGAAACACTTAATGAAACACAAGTAAGAACAAGACCCTTGGAGGGGTGGAGGGTGGGGGCGAGGTAGACTGGGATATCTGGGTGGGAACAGTTACCTGAGTCTCTAACAATCTAAAGGTGAAGAAAAAATATCCTGCTAAGTTTGAAAGACAGTGATAGAGCTAACACTGTGAGTGAAAGCCTTTTAGAGTAAAACCTTCATACTGTATGCCATACTACTGATTTCATTGAAGTGTGGCATGCATTAAAAAATTCGTCAGCGAATTTGCCTACGAGACGCTTGTGACTCCTCCCACTTGGAGGTGTGATTTTGTCTGCATTCCTTTCTCGGCTATTCCCGTGCAACGTTCAATTCAAAATTATGGCGGCGAGTAGAAGGTACGAGTTCAAAGTTGAGTATGGAAGCGGGGGAAGTTTTCGAGTAATTTCTGCAAATTTTCCAGGAGAAAATCCTGTTATGATATCCCCACCACTTTCAACAATATCATATATAACGAGAGATCTCAAATCACTACTTATGCTCTTTCCCCTACTGTAAACACAACCAAGTTCGTTTATGTTCATTGTGCATTTCGCGAGAAAGGAATGCAGACAAAGTCACACCTCCAAGTGGGCGGAGTCACAGCRTCTCATAGGCAAATTCGCAGACGACTTTTTTAATGCGTGCCACACTTCGATGAAATCCGTAGTAAAACCAAAATCATTGAAGAAATCCATTTTGAAGGGTTAAAGTGTGTGTATGACAAGTCAATTTCAAGTACTGTTCTCCTTACTGATCTTTGCTTGTTTGTGCAGAGAATACTGCTTACTGCTTTTACCTTGGGTATAATGGTTTTTCATCATTTCTTGTTTAACGGCTTCACATGACAAGACACATAAATATGGATACAACACAAACGAGGTATCTTATTCGCAAGGGAATAACGTGTTATTTTTTTCCAGTCCGGTATCCTGAAAAGTTGTGCATTCTCATTGGCTGTTTGAGCGGGCGGTATTTTGTCTGTATCTACCCGCGCTCGTGGTCTGGTATCCTTTGCCGCTAAACAACAAAACAAAAAGATTACAAAAACAAGTAAAAATAATACGGGAAAAAAATGAATAAGTTATTTACCGTCCTGTAGTCGGCCCGGATAGGGAAGAACTGTGCCCGAGGTCTTAAATATATGGACCAAAGCCGTTATATCCAGACCTCCTGGCCAGTAAATAACATATATGTCTGAAATGGGAAACATTAATATGCCCAAGGTAAAGAGACTTATAATATCAGTTTACTGACAAAGAACATTACCCTATTCTGTTTAGGTTCATGTTATTAAACCAGTTCTTCCAAGGATCTCTAAGATTATCACTGCCACCGAGAAAAAGCAAGATGGTATGTTGCCAACATTATCTTACTCTCTTTACTTCATTACTTAACAAATTTAAATGCTTTACAAAACAAATTTATAAGAAATTTATATTTTGTCTTCAAGGTTCTCTAGCACTACACATAACTTGGTTAACAACTGTTGTCATCAAGGCTTCTTTACACCCAAGCAGATATATTCGTAAATGGGCTGTGATGGAGATCTTAACCATGGACCTGGCTAGAAGCCCTCTACTTGTACCAACCAACTGGTCCTTTCTGTTAGGTCATTTCCAAGCTATGCTTAATGAATATGCTATTTATGGACCAGATGATGAAACTGGTAAAGCATCACCAATTGGGACAGCACTTGTTTCCTTTTACGATAGTTGTTTATCATCTCTTCCTAAAGAACAACATGTAGACTTTCTTACTAATCTACTGACTGCTATAAAGAATCAGAAGTTTACTTCTGTACCAATGGTTTTCATTTGCCAATCCTTGTCATGCATTGACAACACTTGTGTGTTGGGTTCAGATGCCTTACAGAAGATGAGGAATATCCTGGTCCAGCTAAGAACGCATCCTACACAGATGAGAATTCCAACAAAGGAATTCATTCTTTCATCAGCTGCCAACCTTACAGACCCCAATCTTCTTGACTGGGATGTTATCTTCCACTTCTTGGCAACAGGAAACTTAGAAGAGTGTCTTACAAGAGGGAGTTGGTTGTGGAATGGTCTGTGTGAGTGGCTATGGAAAATAGAGTCACAGAAGCAAAATGTCCACAACAAGGGAAATTCATCAAATGGAAACCATCTTTGCGAAGGAGTTTTTCATTTTCTTGGAAAAAAAGTTGAAAGTTTTCTGAATAATTCAGACGTGCTTGATGATTCCATAAATAATGATACTGAAGCCCTTGGTCGCCTTATCATTGCTGCAGTTGATACTCTTCATAAAAACAAGTGTCGACAAGATTATCACAGCTCATCTTTCATTTCTCTCCTGAACAACATGACACAGATTTTTCATGACGCAAGTACGCGACTGTATATGTCAGAGACAAAACTATCAAAAGCCACAAAACTCTTGAGTACGATACTACGAGTTTTGAATTTCTCTGCCGATGACTACACAAGTTCTCATAATCACGCGATCATTTTATTGAGTCAATCATTAAAAAAATCGTTGTCTGACATCCTTAATCTTATGCAAAGAAAACTAACGACTTCTGACGATGAATTGTCTTCAGGAAAGACGTACCTTGATTTGTGCAACTCTTTGCATTGCTTTTTTGCAGATTCAGATTTTGCTGCGAACAGCTCGTTGAAATCAAGTCGAGCAGAGTTTTACAAGTTCGTTGAAAATGTTGTTGAAATCAATGCAAAGACAATACAGCGTTTCCAAGCAAGTCAAAATTATGAACTCAAAGAATTGGTACATTTTCAGCAATCAGTCTTATTTGTTGCCTGGTATTGTGAAATAATACCAAAATGTAAAGAAGACCTTTCAGCCTCTGCTTCGGAACAAATATTATATGCTATTCCATCATTCCAGTTGAACATGGAATTCAAGAAGCTAGAAATGGTTAAAAGCGTAAAGAATGAAGACAGCAAAGCAAATAATGCTGCAAAAGGCAGTTCATCATGGGGAAACGTTGTGTCAGAATTAATGAGCGCACTGTGGACAATATCTGCCTTCTTCTTACAACACAATGTAGATCACAAGGCAGAAACAAGTGAAACTGTTGTCATTACAAGTCCAATCAAAGATGTCTTAGGAGCTGCAATAGATGCTTTAGATATTACTTCTAACGTTCTGCCAATCATCAAGACCATTGGCCTTCTGATCCCTAACCTTCTTCAGACAGATGTGGATTCTTGTAGCCGATCACTCGATGTAGTCTGGAAAACCTTAAGAGACATGTGGAGCAACACGACATTTTGGGAAGATTTGCCAGTATTCTTGAATGTATTTTTTAGTCCTGTACTGCTCATGCTCCCAAAAGATCATCCACTGACTAAAAAGATCAAATGGTACTTAGAGACGCTTTTGAATGAAGGAGAAAGCCGTCCAGGTGTGATGCACGCTGTCATCCTGCAGCTAAGTAGTGTTTGGGTCAGTGAATTAAAGGCAGAGTGCCATAAGAGTCTACAGGTTCACCTAGACATCGTCATTCAGATGTTGCTGTTTGGTCCAATGGTCGGTAAAGCAAATAGGATTGAATCTCACGTTGAATCCTACCTTCGTCACCTTGGTAGCCAATCCTCTTTAAGTGCACAGTCATTGGACATGCGCGATGACAGTCAAGTCCGTGTTACCATGATCAATGTCTTGTTAGCCTTAGACTCTACCAACACTTACAACCAAGACCTATTCAAGAGTATTATTCGTAGTCTCATCGTGTGGGATCAAGAAATAAACACTACACAGACTACTATTTACATCAACTCTCTGTATCACCGCAAGAAACACCGCGCATGGCAAACAATCCTGGTACTTTTGCCGCTGGCTATGAAACGCGATACTGAAGGCTACTTTGCGAGAGAGATTCTTGAGAATGTTTTCACATCAATGCAGGATCAAAACCAGGTGTCAGTGCAGAACTTTCAGCAGTGGATTGCACTCAACATCTTGACGGGGTATGTTACAGTGTGACTACTATAACCGGGGCAAGCTAGATAGCGAGAACGAATCAAATTGTAGAATGAAAACAATACATTTCAACTTTGGGTAGTGGAGCCAATCGGAAACCAGCAGGGAAAAAAAGCTTTTCAACATAACTTTTTGTCACGCTAGAAAATGACGATGACTATCTAGTTTGGCTATCTAGTTGTGTCATGGAAGATAAGAGGAACCATCATCCATGGCTATATGCAAGTAACATTAGGGACAAATCACCATTCTCGCTTATTCTAGGTTTCTGATTGGCTAGACATTGGCTTGGCATTGTTTTCGAATTCATCTACAATTTGATTGGCTCTCATTGTCTGGGTGGCCCCGGTTAAAATAGTCACACTAATATAAATCACGAAATGCCTTGAATAAAATTATTACTTTTGGGTCCATAAATGATTCCGCAACCTTCCTCTAGGCTGATCTAAGCCAGGGGAAGCCCGGGATAACTTACAGATCGTGAGGGGGAAGGGAATCGGGTAGCCCTCGAATAAAGGGAGAGACCCGAACAACTCTACTCACCTGTAATGCCAAGTCTAGACCCAAGACCCCAGACGCTAGAGGCGAGTGCTCTTACAATAAACCTACCTTGATTTCCCAACAACATGAAGATTTTTAATTACTGCGATTCCCAGTCACACGCGACCAACTAGACCTTCATCACAAATGAAAAATTGAGTTTAGGTGGACGTCAATCAAAAGGGTTTCTATCGTTTCTATTGGTTTCTACACCAGGACTGATGTGAATACTCACGTGAACACGTGCAAACGTGCAAAAATCGTCCTTATCTCATGCTTCTTGTCAATGTGAATTTCTCGCTCTGGATATATTTTCTTTAAAATGTCACAGGATTCCGGCTCCGAATCACCGAACGCTTGATTGCAAAGCTTTTGCTCAGCTATGACTATGATTTGAGTTTCTTCAAGATAGGATAAGTCAATACTGATAGTTTGCAGTTAAACGTTTGCATGAAATTCGGAGTCGGAATCCTTTAGACATGTTTAAGAAACCCTTTTGATTGACGTCCGCCAACTCAATTTTTCGTTTGTGATTTTGGTCTCAGTTGGTCGCATGTGACTGGGAATCGCAGTAAGAACGGCATGTCTATACTGGCTTTATGTTAGTGTGTTGTATCTAAATATGTTTTTTTAAATTGAATAAAGCGTTTAAGCCTGATAGTTTTTTTTCTTTTTTGTATTATAAGGAATCCATACCTGACAACACTACTCTGGGATGAACTGCTCTATCACCAAGATAAAAAAGTCGGCAGGACGGCATTACTGGTTACCATAGCAATGCTGTATGCTGTTCATTGTGTACCCACTGATCAAGGAAAACGAGATCTCGTTTTCAACTCTGCAATAAATGCAACATTCCCCTGGGTGACAGCCAGTCATCGTAATGTACGCGTGATTGCACAAGTGGCTGTCCAGAAGATGTGGTATTGCTGCGTATCCGAGAACCTGCTGTGGGTGTTAAAAGAAAACCCCATTATAGAGCCTTGCTTGGCACTTATCAAGGCGGCTAACGACACCCTGGCGGAGAAGATTCGACTTCTTGAATCCTACTTCGTTTTTGACTTCCACCCTATACGAGATTTGTCTATGGAGACTATCTTCTACACTATTCCAAAGCATTCAGGGATCACACAAGAAGAGTGGGTGGAACCCAAAGATTTTCAGCGATCTGTACTTGGGAAGACTGTTTGGGTCGAACCCGACGAGTTTCAACAATCACCTTTCGTGGACAGCATATGGAGTAGCTTACAAAGAATACCACTGTACAATAAAGACCGCAGGCTCGCTAACTTTCAAACCATGCCATATGACAATAAAGAGAAGTTTGGTGTTCATTTAGAACGAAGAATTCGCGAGGAAAGAAAACCGAGTTTGAAAGTGGTTGAAACCGAGATTAAGCCGGCTGGTCAAGAATCTGACAACGCTGTCTTGAATGTTCAAAAGAAAATGATCGCGTGGAAGATCGTCCCCCCGGAAGAGGTAATGATGGCCGACCTACAGCAGCAGAGGATGCTTGCTTTACAAAAGTCATCTGGGGGCAACCTCGTAGTCGTAGCCTCGYTGATTGACAAGGCACCGAACCTAGGAGGACTGTGTCGAACCTCGGAGATCTTTGGCGTGAGGAAACTGGTGCTAGGGAGCACAGACATCATGAAAGACCATAATTTTAAGGTTAGTGTTGTATGGTGATCACCCGTAACAACAGTAGACGCTGTTCAAGATGTCTTTTAATAGTGGCACAGCGTTGTCCCATGTCAAAACTCCATGGAATAGGATTCTTTGTTAATTTGATTAGTTATAGATTTTGTCGAGCGCTGCCGGTAAATAAAGAAATAACACTAAAGGGATAACAAGTGGTAATATGTTTTTTTTTTCATTTTGTTTCAGACCTTAAGTGTCAGTTCAGCCAAGTGGATTGACATCGAACAGGTTCGACTAGCGGAGCTTAAAGGATACCTACGAGACATGCGGCATCAAGGCTACACGCTGATTGGTGTAGAACAAACGGCCAATAGCCAGCCTCTGACCCTGTACCAGTTCCCTCATGATGCTTTATTGTTGCTAGGCAACGAAAAGGAAGGCATCCCGGCTGATTTGATTCAGTTGCTGGATGAATGTGTGGAGATCCCACAGGTCGGTATTATTCGTTCTCTTAATGTACACGTCAGTGGAGCGCTCCTTATATGGGAATACACAAGACAGCGCCTGCTTACTGCACACAGTACCGCTGAATAAAACGACGCACAACAAATAATCGGCAAGACAAATCCGTGGCAAGACATATTCAAACATTTCAAAAGTGATTCATTCATTTACTGCTCAAGGCAATTTATTTTTTAGCTTACCGTCGTATTTTCAAGAGTGTTTTTATAATATGAAGTAAACTTAGCGGAACACTTATGATTTTAATGCTTGTCTGCAAACGAGACTCATCAAGGAAGTCGCTTCACGTACTCTAGACCATCGCTTGTTCGGCGCTTGTTTGATTTTTTGGTTTTATAACTAAACTACCGCGGTAAAAGAAAATGAAACAAATAGAAAATGGTAATTAAGGTATTGAATGTAAAAAGACTTGGAGCACTTTAGAATTGCGTGGTGCGAATTGTTCTTTGATAATCAAAATAGGATGTTTTATGAATTCATAATGGTCAATATTTTGTTTTTTATTTTTATTAGTAAGTAAATAAGCAGGAATAAAACCTAAAACTAAACAATCTTGTCTACTGCATGTTTTCTTTTCGATAGAATATTATGTTTCCCTATTTAGATAGTTATCAGAAACTCAAATCCGGTATGTTGCCGTTATTCTCGGCTGTAAATTTACGAAAACATAAAGCAAAGGAAAACAGGAAAGGCTGTGTGGTGATGCTATCGATGTATCTTGTACATACATCAGGTATCAATGTATCGCTTGCAGTATAAAGTAATTTTTGCTCCGTTGAAACCGGCTTTCCTTTAATGAGAGAATTGATTTATTGAAGGATGATTTTCCAGAGACGCTAAAACGCAGAGTGCGTTAGTAGAACTGAAGTAAATTTTGCTTCGTTTAAGCTGGCTAATGTTAAATCCAAAGGAAGTGTTTTAGTTCACTATTCTGCCAATACTAGACGTGCTTTCAACCTTGATGACAAACGAGGGTATTGAAATGGTTTAATAACAGCACGCTGCTGGTTTAAATTGGTTTAGAACACTCTAGAGATACTATTAATGAATACTGATACGAGAATAAGTAGCAAAGCTTTCTTTACAACGTTTTTTTCTTTGACTCGATCCAGACTTGGTAGACGGCTCAATTGTGTTTCTTAAAGAGCTTCGGGCCAACGCATTCGGAAATGACTTTTGTAGGGAGTTATTTTAGCATTGCGCACACATGAAAAAAGAAAGGTTTTGTAGTTTTCTTATTGGAAACGATCCGGAAATCTACGGATGATAAAGAAATAACGAAAGAAAAGTTGTTTTTGGGTTCGCTAAAGGCGTGGGGCGCTAGCAAATGGATATTGACCACTCTTTTTTTTTTTAATATTTTGATTATACTCTGTCTGGTTCTGTTATTCTATATTCTTAATCTCAATATCCCAACACCACGCAATTCCTAAGAAGAAAAATAATGACTTAAAATGAAGGAGTTTTTATATTAATAAAGATGGTGCCGTTAAAAATAAACTTGGACAGCTGTAGTCAAATCTTTCTATCCCTTCGATATCTGATAAACTTTTCAAGGAGCTACAAAACAAAGCATTCTTTTCCTACTTTGATCGATCATGGTTCTTAGCTTATCTCCAAGGGACTAATTATATTCCTCGATTTCATTCTCAAAGTAACGAGATTGAAGTCAAAGGTGGCTTGATCCCCTGAATAGCTGGGCGATCAAAGGGAACGATTTGTTGTGTTTCTACAGTCAAGGTTCCAGCCAAAACTGTGATAACAACTTGTTCTTATCTTCACTTCACTTGTTTTTCACTTCGTCTTTTGGGCGTCACGTACGTTTGCTTATCTTTGACAGTCGCCTCGACCTTGAAATCTAATTTTTGTTTTATAAATTAGTGGAGACAATCTCAACTTAAGGTGGCTGACTACTTTGGTAAATAATAAACAGAAAAATGAAAATTGAAACTTTCTTAACCTGAAATTTAATGCTGATTCCAAAAATGCAAAGAAAATTAGGGTGTCCCGAGCTT